GAACAAAATGAAAACAATTCAGGATTTTTAAAAGAGTTGTTAAATGAAGTTTCAAAGATGCAAGATTAATACACATTTTTGTTTACTAAATGGTCAGAAATAACAGCAATGTGCTCATATTTCTGTCATATAAAGCAATAGACAAACTGTCTTTACTGTACACCATGCCATTATGTTTATAGTTGTGTATAATCAGACCCCAAAGGCCCATTCTGAGCCAGGACAAACCCTGTAAACTATCCTTTATTTTGGAATCAAAAGCCAATATGGACTAACATGTACGCCTCAACAAGCAACAACGCTTTCACACAAAAAATAACACAACTGTAAACTAAATTTTAAAACAACTTAATTTGAGAAAGCAAGACCATTTGCCTCTGCATGGCAACAGAGCATCATTTGGTAAAGTTTTCAACTTAGCGAAACATTTCTGAGCCAACCAATTTATGCTTTCACTATATATGACCACTGAACTAAAACCACTGCTCATACTTGTTTGGTCTATATTCAGATCATTGAAAATGAAATCAATGAGTCTGAAGACAGGCGGAAGAGTAAAACAGTGAAAACCATTAGCTCAAAGACAGCTTAGATTAAATCTGGAAAAGAACATGCACAGAAAGGCTGCAGCTTTACAAGGTGTGTGGAGTTGTATTCAGATGATTCTAAGTTCAGCCCACATGGATCTGACGGTACAAAGTGTTGCAAGAATCAGTACTTGAGTACCAAGTCAACCGCAAAACTCAAAACAAGATAGTGGACGTTCTTCTGTAGCACCAAGCGGGACTGTAGATACCAGACATACTGAAAATACATATGGGACGTCGTATGCAGGTGGAACAACAGGTACGCTGCGCTAAACAAACAAAAACACATACACCCTAATGGACACCATGAAGATATCTTCTGTTTGTGCCAGAAACGTACTGAAGCACCTCATAAGCAGGCATCCGAATTTGTACACAAATTTCAAGGCGATGAAACCCCAACTTGGAACCCTTATTGTTTGCAAACTGCAAAGGCTGGCGTAGGTTGTGACGTCGCTCCACATATGATATTCAAAGGCTAACGCATTCTTGTCAAGGCTAATGCAGCTATGGCGCATAACATGAGATGGGTGCTGCTTTTAATATTGGAAGACATCATTATTTTCTAAACTGTCAACATAACCTTTAGCACGTTAGCCCGTTTGGTGTCCAGCAGTTCTTTTTTAAATACGAGAGTTTATGCCAAAATACTATTTTTGATTTGACTCTTTTAGTCTTTTTGTTGTGATATTAAGAAATGTGGCATTCCAATGGAGTTGCTAACAACTACCAAATTTCTGGTATTATGCCATCCCTAGCTTATTGCTGGAACCAGTAACTCTGATGGAGGATGCAGCCTTACAGATATCAGCCAAAAAAATCAGTCACGCGACAGAAGTCTTAGAGTGACCCTCCAGGAGTCCTGACCTAAATCCCACAGAGCACCAATGGGATGCCATAGAGTAAAAAAAAAAAAATCAGCTTTACAATATTTTAGTGTGGGTGAACAGACAGCTTTGCTGGCTAAAACATGGAGGAAACTTTCACCACAGCTATTAGACTGGTTGAAAGCCTGCCCAGATATTGTCAAGCATCACTGCACGCTCAAGGATGAAAAACAAAACAAAAAAACAATGCAACTGTGAGCTTTTAGAACCCTACATATTTGATGTGCAAATACATTTTGTCTTCATTTTGAACATACAGAATTTGCCCTGACATTTTGCTATAAAACACAATGAAATTCGTACACTTTTAAGTGTGCCTGAGAGGGTTAAATACTTCCGTGGGTGACTGTTTCAAAACACACATCTTACGTTGCATTCGATGTGCAACAGGGTTCTTTGGTGCTGTAATACACTTCAATAGGATTGTACTTTTTTTTCCCTGGAAAACCACAAGTGAAAAGTAAAGATCCTTTTATATCTGCAGGCTATACCTTTTGATAGTCCCAAGAGCATTCTGAATACATTCTTGCTTGCAATCCAAAGGTAAGTTAGAGCTCCTGCCTATCAATCCTTGACTACTGGGGGGGAAAAAAATATCTCCAAACGAATCTGACCAGTAAAGAGACATGACATATTATTGGCATAAGACTTTTTTATGGTCAGTGGGTCACATTAAAAGGATTACTGACAGATCCAGGAACATAATCATTTATTTGTACTAATATTGGCCTTTTCACTTCCTTCTTTTCTTTACTAACTCTTCAGAAAACTTGCTCTGTTGTTTAGTGCTTGGCAAGCAATACACGGTGGGTTTACCAGAGCTTTTTTGTCTTCTGCCTAAAGGCTTTGATAGCATCAGCTACGCCATCGTTACTGTGCAGCCAGTAATACCAAAACAATGAGCGAGCAAAACTGAAAATGTATTACTAAGTCTCTGATCTTACATTTCAGTTTCATTTGAGGGGGGAGCGGGATTTAAGCAAAGATGGTCTTCGCCCATCAGCCCAACATCACCTCGGCGTGATCCCCCTTCCCTTTTACACACTACAATCAAACACACACACCTCCCACGGACAGGAGTGGAAGAGCCTGTTAGTAAAGACTTAGCGAAGACGGGGGGCGGGGGGGGAGTTAGCAAAGACCGTCTTCGCGGAGACTAATAATGCGAAATAATCACAGTCAGCTTAATTATTGTATTTAGGCGATTATGTACTAATTATGACAGGCCCAGTCTGAACAGCATCGAGCAAGCCCTGCAACCGACAGGAGATGTCTGCTGGATAATGGGACATATTTGCTGCCAGGTGACTAACGTATCGGCACACATGATTTAAGGTGTGGCAGTTTGTGAGTTTGGTAAACTTCAGTAGAGCAAAGGAAACAAAAGAAAGGCAAAAAAATGGTAATTTTCTGTGAAATATAAAAGTATTCAGCCGGGGCACATTGGTCGTGACTTATACTGCAAATAAGGCACTTAACTGCCAGCACATCTTTAATAAGAAAAAAAGGGGGGCGGGGGGAAGCCAAATATCAATATTAAAAATGTCAATTAATGCTGCAACACATTTATAATTAACTGAATGATTTTTTGCAATTTTAGCTCTTGAATTGCACTGCTAATACTACATTTCTTTGCTCTTGTTTGAATGAACTTTATTGGGAAAAAAACGACCAGGAGCTTCAAGCTTACGTTTCCTGTGAGCTCTATGCAGCGGCTGGCCGACTGTCCCATAGAGTGTGAACCAGACTCTTGAGGGGCGAGAAGGCTAATTAAAATGTGTAGTGTGAGTTAAGACACTGCACATATTTATTATAAACAGCACTGTGTATTCCTTGCTTTAAAGGCTAACCCTACTAGCATGTTACAGCTGATACACAACGGCCAGCAGAAATATGCCAAAACATCCCAGATGGAACCCCAGAACATTTGTTCTGGGAACGCAAGTATTTAGACATAAATAGTCTTTTTACAGAGAGTAATTGGTTGGATCACTGGGCGCACGGAACCCTGAGGAAGTCTCATGCTAAACCGAACATGCTGTACCAAACAGTCTGAGAGGAATACATCCCAAGGGACTAAATTTATGTTTACTACACTACTAAAGGCCTTTCCACAAAAAAAGCACCACTTAATTGTATAGTATTTGTCACTCTCTATTGATTTACACTAGTTAATTGGACAATACACCCGGCAAACATATTTTTTTCAAATCTTCAAGTTGTATTTATTCCGAAACACGGTCCCAAAATCTGAGCTTGTTTCATAATCTGACGACTTAACTTTATTTTGGGGGGTAAACGCAGTGATTCGTATCTCCGATATCTCTTTTCAAACTAAAACTGTTGTAATCAAGATATTAAACAGACTTGTGTTTTCTAAACCAAACCACTCAATTACTCAAAAGGAAGAGATGCAGATTTCTATCTGGCATTCCAACACACTTTGTTTCTACTTATAGAACTTAAGTGTAAAAATAAATTAATTACATTTGTCCCGTCTTGTCTTTTTGCTTTGATGTCATGTGACCAAGACATGACTAAGTTTTTGTCTCAGGAAATTTGGGAATTTATAGTTGGTAGCTAAACTGAGCATCAGTATCGAACACGGTTTGTCATCTTTTTTTTCCCTCTCAGCCCTGAATCAACTCTCCACAAGTACCTAAATGAAAAATACAATGAAATCCTTTTCCAAATCAATGGAACTGCTTCAGCAGGGCTACGACAGAAATTTAATTAGCTTCATTGGATTTCTGATGCACAGTATGCTATGAATTGGAGTGGCATCCTATTTGAGGATAGGTGTGATTTTGAGGCAAGCGTATCATTATTTGATTGTAGATGGCAAACAGGGTCCAGCAGATACAAATGTGTCTCCATCCTGCACTCATTACCTGCAGTTATGCACAAGTCAGTCTACCATGAAGGACATCGCATCTGTTTTATACATGGTCTGATCAATGATTATCATAAACATCAAATGTTCCAACACAGGACAGTTTACTTTTAACTTTCAAAAACATGCACATGTAAGAAAATGCCCTTTGCTTACACATGCATATTAGGCTGCAAGTGAGGTACAGTTTATTGAAAACAGGTCAGCGTCATGAAGCAGACATGCACGGAGTGTCTCTTGAGACAATAATGTTCAGGTTTAGAGAAGCCCAGCCTTAAGTGTCTGGGATATTTTAGAGGCTACAGGTTGTTGTTGAATTACACCGTGTTACACCTGGAGGAGCGATCTGTTGCAGAACTGCACTGGAGCACATTACCACAAGGCCTGCGTGCCTAATAAACTGGCATTTGCGTGTATGGGGTAGGCACTCACCACACAGCCAAACCACAACACTGCAGTAAAACCACATCAAACTACCACCAGTACACAGCTCAGTACACCAAACTGAGCTGATAACTTCAGACCGTGCTGCATGGACGGCCAGTGGATCTAACAACGAATTGCATGGTAATGTTGGGTGCAAATGTTTGTAATATTGGTGTTTACATGTGGAGGGAGTGTAGAGGCCTTTACCTTGTCCATCAGACGCTGACAGGGCAGGTGAATTCAGCTTCGGCCGTTTGGAGTTGGGAGGTCCGACGTCCAGCAGGTTTTCAGCCATAGTTGTTATCTTGTCTGGCTGCTAGTTAAGTTGCTTATTCGATTAGCTTATGACAGGGAAGTTGTTCTATCAACCCAAACCTCCCCGGTTAGCACATTAGCAAGCTGGTAGCCTGCTAACGTTAGCTAACTGGCTAATAGCTAGCTAATTGCCTGCTACTAGCTAAGTTAACAGTTAGCGTTAGCTACTCCTTGCTGTGAGAGTCAGTGTCTTTCAAAAGAGATGCAATAGCGCCCCGCTTCGCCACCGCCATTCACCCCATGATAATCCAACACCCAACACCCACATTATTATCGTTAAATAACCCGAAATAAAATATTCCCCATGTAAAAATCGAGCTTCAAAATGACAATCCAGTTAAATCAGGTGGATTGCTGCATTCCAGGAGATAAGTCGTAATTTCTAGATGTTCAAAGTACCCATTTTGCGTGACGTCAAATTTCTTCATGCAAAAATCGCGCGAAGCTCCACAAAAATGCACAATTGCATAAAAATGCCGTATTTTTGCAAATCACTTCGAAAGTCACGATCTGCTCTCCGCTTGCCCACGGTAAACAATACTGCTCCCGAACGGCGACAGGGGCTGAATCGCCGCACTCTGAAGGGGAAATCAGATATACGGAGCTTTTCTGCCCGACGACCACCGATCCAATTCCCGTTTTTTCGCACAAAATGTCTCCGAGGCGACGTTAAGATTTCGTTTTCGGCAGAAGGACGTTGTCATATCGCGGTAAGGATGCTCGATTTCTACGTAAAACCCAGTGTTGGACCGAAATCCTAATTCCGAGCCACGACAAGATGGCGGCTGTTGATTCCTTCGATACAAAAAAGTTTTTTTTTTCTTTTCCAGATCGGCTGTGGAGGGGGAGGGGCCGCGCAATCACGCCCTACGTGAAAACACCGCCGCCGCTGGCCGCTGGGGGCGCTGCAGCTCCGCCGCTGACAGCAGCAAGCCTCGGTTCATTTAGAAATTCATCTTCCAGGTAAAATTATAGGAATTATAATATAAATAAAATACATTTAGAACATTTAAAGTGCAGTTAAACATAATTTGCACATTATAGCTCAGTGTTGCATGCTATTTTATGAGTTAAATATACTTAATTTTGTACAGTATAGCAAGTAGAATTCTATAATATTGGTATGGTTAATCTTTTTTTATTTAAAACACCATTAAAGTTTTTTCATAAATCAAAAATAAACATATTAATAAACTCCATTCCCTTAGTATAATACCACATTTTTTGCAGAGTATGGATTTTTTATGTATAAAATAAAATCTTGATAGGATATCCAACATCAGAAGTAAAGCAGCTAGTTTAGTTTTTTCCTTTTCTTAAACACACTTTACAAATTTTCCTGGCCTTTTATGGCCACTCTTTAAATATTCTGCTTTTATCATTCTCTTCTCTATTTTACATTCTTTACTTTTGTCCTTTCGCACTTTGTATTTATTTCTTATGCACTAAGAGATTAGTACAAATTTCCTTGCAAACTTGCAATGACAAAAGACATTCTATTCTCTTACACTGAAGTGAAAAAGACTAACTACTGATGTAAGAAGAAATCATTTAAATTGCATAATGGTGAATATTTAGTTAAGTACAATGTAGTAGGAACTTGTCCAATTCGTGATAAGCATGAGTGGTTGCCCACACTTCAGATTTGTTCTTAGCGATGCAAAAAAACACAACAAAATGGCTACATTATCTGATAATCAGCCAGCATATGGTTTAAAATGAACCCATCTTTACTTCATACTTCACAGTACGCTCAACAGTTTTCTGCTTGGAGATTTATTTCTCTCATACTGAAAAAAAAAAGAGGAATAAAATCATATAACTCACGCAAATAGACACACATTAAATCAATCTGATAATACGTGTCTCTTTTTCATTGTTTCCTGACAAAATCTGACACATGCACATGTATAAAAAAAAAAAAAAATCATACGTGACAAAATAACTGCATATGTACAAACACTGAGTGCTTTGTGCAAATGTGTACAGATTACGATCATGTGTTGATAAATGATACATGGGTAATGTGCACAAAACATACATAATACATCTCATTCATGAACATGAAAACAAATACTTTTTTTTTTTTTTTTCAAATCAAACAACACTGCCTAAGTTCTGTCCCAGTGTAATTAAAAACACATACGGGTTTGAATTTACTCGCAAATTATGATGAAAAGACGCAGAGCTGTCACCATTTAAATGAGTGATTAGGCGATGCTGTTTCTCCACGATGATTTTAACAAGTGCTGACGCTCTGTGCCTTTATGTGTCTCCCTTATATTTCCATCACAAAGCAGAATCACACTTCTTCAAAAACAATACCAAAAAATAAAAATAAAAATCACTGAATGCCATAAACTTCTCCTCAACGGACTTATTGAACTGCATTATTTTTTTTTTTTTTTTACCATCTGCCTTCTAAGGACCCACGCTCACGCTGCCAAAACTGAAACAAATCTTGTCAAACACACATCATCTATCAGTACGCTGTCAGAAATGGACAAAATCCAAGCAACCTTAAAAGAGAAAAGCTTAGTGATCTGATTTTCCTCCTGCGTGTTGGGAATATATGCTCAACATAAATATAGAAAGCATGATAGCGAGAACTGCTCACATGCAAACAAGATCACACACGTCTCCCTCAACTGCATCCCAGAGCCTGCAGCGAACACTTTAATGTTTATTATTTATGTGCAGACGTGTGCTACTGGAGAGATGGCGTGCTCATCAACCTGTGGGAGTCAAATCTACTTCGGATAGTTTCTGTCTGCCCGCTACTGCCTTAAAAATCACAGAGGGTTATCTAACAACGTAAGGCAGGATTGGAAAATGTGGCGAGAAAAAAAACAACAAAAAAAAAACTTTCCTTCACAACTGATACCTGATATTCTCATCTGTTTCCGTAACTCTGTTTGCTGCGGTTCAGTCGGTTTGGCAAGAATGTACATCACAAGAGTACAATAAGAGAAAATATTTCAAAAGCAACGATTTTGGCCAACGAAGCAGATCTCACATTACTATCTACAGTGACAGCTTCTGGAGAAACCTCTTTGGATTTTCAGGATGTTTATGCTACTACAGATATATTATTTGATACAAATAATCACAGCTCACATACACTAATTAGACATACACCAAATTCAAAAAGGCACTGGTTGTGTATCTTCCGTGGCAGAGGTAAACAAATGTGTTTTTGCTGCTACAGATGGAGGCGGCTACATAAACAGGGATGGTTCCTCCTTTTTCATCTCACCGCTGCATCCGTGTTTTCTCAACGACAGATTCTTTAACCCGAACTGTTGATCGATTTCCAAAAGATGTGGTGGTGATATGTGTTTACAGGATTTCAAATTTCAGATCTTTTCTATTTTTCCATTTCAAAATAATGCAAATGTAATTCCGCCACAGATGAGGCACCGGCGACAAGATAAGAGCTAAACAGCGGCCCAAGATGACTTGCTTTTGCATGTTTTTGGTGTTACAACTTTATATCTCTCGCGCGCACACACACGCAACGTACAAGAGAGAAACAAGTGCTTTCAGGAGAAAGGACACAGCATCAAGTAAGTAAAGAGCAAAGAGAATTACAGAGCCAGCAATTCGATGGGAACACCATCACACTATTCCAGGCGACTGGTTAATGTCAGAAAGAAAGAACTAGAAAGGAAAGCCAAAAAAAAATAGATGGAATTTGTCAAAAAAAAATTGCAGCAAAACCTGCACAGTGAGGATAATTTCCTCAAACATACAATCATAATCTATCCTCATTATGACAACAGTATGATAAAAAAAAAGAAAAAGAAAACCAAAATACTCACAAATACAGTCATACTTTTAGGCACCACAAAACAATCAGCTAGTTTAGGTTGCACTGCACCTATAGATCACTCAATTAAAGTGGCACATTTATATTGATACAGTAGAGGGCCTCCTCAGTGAAGAGGCTTGCTGCAGGATCAAAGTTAAAAAGTCCCAACCCTTCAACGGCAAATCACACAGCTAAAGGCAGACACCACTGAACTGTTGAGGAAATCTAATAGCGATGCACTGACCGATGTTTGATTTTGGCAAATTAAGGCAATGAATGGACAAATTTGAGGTTTGTAGTGTAGAAACCGTCGTCGATCTGCGATTTGACACCGAAACTAAACGGCATGTGGACCATCCCGTCGTCTACCGAGAACTACACAGTGATTGTCCCTCACAGTCCCACTTAAAGTTACACTCTACCCAAGATCAGTCGAGTATTAAACTCTCACCCCGCTGTCTTCAAAGGAGTCCGGTGATGTTCTGTTTCTGCTATATTGTGTCCAATGAAAAGCCCCAAACCAGGAATTAATACATCTGTCTGGAAAATATTGCCTATTTATCCAAAGCTTGTTTTTTAGAGCTGCACATGTTGCTTCTCCCATAAACGCTCACTAGTTCAATAAATCCAGTGTTGATGAGTCCAAAATAAACGCTCTATTTACTCCAGTTTGAGGAGTAATGGCTACAAAATATGGGTGCTGTGCTCGCAAGATGTAAAGTGCACCCAAGAAAGGTTTGAGTTACTTTTGCGTACTACTTGCCAAGTCATTACTCTACTGTCTGCTATCTGAAAAGGCCCTAAAAAAAAGTCTCAAAACCACTAAAATGCCCAGCTGTTTTATGAAATTCCTGCACCCTTCTAAAAATCAAATGATACATTTATGGATTTCAGTGGCAGAGTGCCACTACACGGTAAAGAAATATTCAGACAGACGAAAATATCGTTGGTTTTGGTCTTTTTGGGTAATGTTTTTTGCATTAGTTACAACAAAAATATAAAATATCACTAGAAGACGGCAGGTGTATCGAGGTTGTAGTTTGATCCTACAAACAGCACAGTGGCTTTTCAGGAAACCCAACAAGGGAGCTCTAATGGAGTGGTTCTGAGCAAAAAAAAGAGCAGATCTTGTCATGTAAAAAGAGTGTTTACTTTTACTACAGTGAAATATGACTGAACCCAGAACATACAGACGAACAGTAAAGACGCGATTGATTAAAAGAAGTATCTGTCTGTCTGTGCTCCATTTAGGATCAAACTCCAACACTTTCTACACCCATCTCTCATGCCGACAGGGGGTGAGCTTTATGTACTGAAAAGACAGATCTCGGTATCACTTTAAGTATATTTTAAAGTGCCTTCCTACGTTTTCTGATGGCCCCTCATTTTAAAAACCACCTTTCTTCCGTATCTATATTCCCTTATCTGATTATTTGATTTGTGCTTTTGATTGTTAGAACTCTGTTTAATAAAAAGCTATTTAACGGTAATAACTACCAAATACAAGTGGTCGGGGGAAAAAAAAAAAAATCTGTGCAAGACCTGTGCTTAAAAATGTGCATTTAGCTGCTACACCAACTAAAATCTATGCAGCCTGCTTGGTAGCGTGTCCCTCTAAAGAGAGTGAGACTCGAGCACATATGAATACTGTATTAAAAGCCCTCGTGTCAAAGCAGAATACATAAATTAACACTGCTTCATGTGATTCCCTCATTCTTCCCATAGTTTTCCTGCTCAGCCCATCATGCTGCACTGGCACTTATATAAAATCTAAACTTATTTTTTTCCCTTAAGTAAGGTCAAGACTTTGATCAAGTTAAAACAATTGATATGGCACAACAATAATAACTTTTTTTTTTTTTTTAAAGAAATACTTGCATTCAAAGTAAAAGCATGGAGTAAGAAACCACAGCATGTTCTGTAGTCTAAGATTGTTAAAACTTGTTCAGTATTCATATTTGT